CATCATTTTGAGCATACATCATTACCTATGCATAGGTAATGATCCATTACCATCGACAGCAGTTCTGGCAAGAAGGCACATTTTCCAAGATCTCCATACTGATCACCAAGCTCAGAATGGAGGAGAAAACACAATGCAGGCTTGCCTGCAGCTGTGCAGGTCAAGAGCCGGCACCAGACAAACATCGGTTTTCACTCGATCTCCACAACGGTTTTCACTCAATCTCCGCAACGGTTTTCACTCAATCTCCACAACGGTTTTCACTCAATCTCCACAACGGTTTTCACTCAATCTCCACGACTGACAATATGCCATCAGAAATGTGCCTTCTTGCCATCATCAGAACTGCTGTCTATGGCATCCCGCTTGGCTTCCATGCTTTTGGCATTCGCATCATTCATCAATTACCGTCATCTTGCACATTCGAATCCTATTGCGAAATGAATCTGGAAGCAGCAACTCCAGAATTTTTTTTTATTTTTTTTTTTTTTTGGGGGGGGGGGGGGGGGGGACCGGGAGCTTTTTTCTCCATTCTTTTTTGTGAAGTTTGATCATCCTACTGACTGGCCCTACCGTCTTTACCCGAATAGAACGCCCGATCGTTTTCGCTGTATGTAGACTGAAAATTGCACCAAATACGGCTATAATGACCGGGCGTTCTATTCGGGGTGAAGACGGTAGGTAAGGATTGTAGTATGTTACTCGTTTGCTTCCAGTGGAATTCGAACAGTTCTTCGGTCTGCATTTCAACAGTTCGGGGTGTACCAACTGAGCTCTACCTTCTTCCCCCGACTAGAACGTACGGTCATTACAGCTGTATCGAGACTGAAAGATGGCTCAATACAGCTATAATGACCGTACGTTGTATTCAGGGAAAGAAGGTAGGCCAGTTGGTAGCTCCAGAAATTCCAAGTCCTGGTGTGAACGCATGGCAATGTGCCCATATATACTGGCCTGTGCCAAACCACGTGGCAACGACGCCCATATATCCTTCTAACAGCTCGTTATACTGTGCCAAACAACGTGGCAACGACGCCCAACCCCAATTTTTTTCCTGCTGACTGTGCCCAAATCAGCAAGTGTCCCCCTGGTTGCTTGTGCCCAACGAAACCCAAGAAAACGACTTTCAAGAAACTAAAACCCCTAAACCAGACAGGGAAACCACCAGTACGTCCTTCGGGACATCCATTACAATTGGAACGATACAGAGAAGATTAGCATGGCCCCTGCGCAAGGATGACACGTATAAATCAAGAAATGGTCCAAAAAAAAAAAAAAACAAAAAAAAAACAGTACCTCATGGGGGCTTAGGCCCCCTTCTGACGCGAATGAATACAGGTCCGCACGATACAAAGAAGATTAGCATGGCCCCTGCGCAAGGATGACACGCATAAATCGAGAAATGGTCCAAAAAAAAAAAAACAGTACCTCAGGGGGTCTTAGGCCCCCTTCTGACGCGAATGAATGCAGGTCCGCACGGCGCACCGATTCATCCACCGGGTTAACGCCTCATACTGGTGGTGATCCGATTGACCTCAGACTGCTACAGCATCACGAAACAAAAAACCGCGAAGCCCTGCCTGTCAGATGCGGACAGGCCTGCCCACAAGAAACAACCATGCCATGTGACATGTGACCTCCTCCCCCCCACCCCAAATCGCTGTTCACATGGAACCCTTCTTCACTTCGGTCTTCAAAAATGTGACCTCTCTCATTTTAACATTTGCTACTACCACAAATATATCTGCACCGGAAACCGCTTCACCTACCGTCTTCCCCCGAACATAACGCACCCTGAAAATGAACGTATACAAGCTATATTTCCGGTCCGGTACAGCCAAGATAAGGGTGCGTTGTGTTCGGGGGAAGACGATAGGCTCACGCTCCAGGCTTCGCAGCAGGCCCCGCGCCCTCCTACTCGTCGCCGCAGAATTCATATACCGAGCTGGCATCAGCACGTGTGCTCTTTTTTTCTGTCAGCACTGTCATCCACGGCATTGCCCTCGGCTGCCATATTTGACATTTGCATCGTTCGTCAATAACCATCATGTGCCAGCTACCATCTCTAACACATGCAGTAGGAGCGCCTCTCTCCTCCCTGAAAAGGCAACCAGACCCAACACAACTGACCTTCTTCACAAACCCCACAGCTATCAGGAACGCCATTCACACCAGATACCCACCCTGCTATATACTAAAACCCATCCCAGGTTCATTGGTCATTAACCCGCCGATGCGCGGTCATGCGTTATATCTGCGTTGATCAATAACAACAGATCATCACCACGTTTTTTTAGTTTATCATCACGTTTTTTTAGTTTATCATCACGTTTTATGAGTTTAAGTAAGATAAGAAGGGTTTAGAAAAAGGAAACCGTCCATGGCCATGACCAAGGCCAAGGCCAAGATTCAACTGTTAAATCACCAGTACTTCGCCCAGCTATCGGCCATAAAAAATAAAATAAAAATAGAGTAGAAACGTTTCTAGTCGGATGAATTTGGACGCGCCTGTAGTGGCCCGTACGTTTCCTTCAAAAATTGTCGCTTGTTACCAAGGTCTCGCGAGCCACTTCCAGACCCTAATGTGCTGAGACTTTGACACCCCCACCCACCCGACAGATCGACACGGCCCAAGTTTTTTTTTTTTTTTTTTTTTTAACCAAACAGAAATTTCCTTATATAACCAATCCGAGGCCGGGGACCTCACAATTCCACCCGGGGTACTGACAGCATCAGCCAGCTTAGCTTACAGGCTTGCGCCTGCAGAAAGTCACGGCCCAAGTTCAAGCCAGTTGGGGGGCAACAAAAATTCAACAAAAAGAACTACTTAAGATTCTCGAAGAAACCTTTCTCGGCCTTTTGGCTAAGATCAAGAAATGTAGTATCTGTTGTCATAAGATTAATATCTGATCCGTGGTCCATTGGGCCACAGAGAAAAAAAGAAAACAAAAAAGGTTCTCGAAAAATTTACTCGTAACAAATCATTAATCATTACCTACCTGTTCTCTCCTCCTTCAAATCTGTTGACCTGAATCAAAGCAATACTGTAAATACTAATCAGTCGATTGACGAATCAGAATACAGGAAGCTCAGAAAAAAAATAACTCGCACGCCGATCCTCCCCCCAGAATCAGTGAAAAGGAAACTGGACGATCTCTCTTCTCCGCCACTCAACCTTTTTTTTTTGGGGGGGGGGGGAAGGGTGCAAACATTTGTATTAAAATCATAGGAAAGAGGCCGGAGACATCACAATTCGACCTCGAAAATCTGGGGTCATTACCCAATTTAGGCTCAGAGCAATCTATAAGTGGAAGCCGGGTCTAGTGTCCCATTTCCTATCATCATGGTGCTATCCGAAGAAAAATCAACCTTGAAGAGCTGAAACAACCAGTACTTGGCCCAGCTATCGGCCGCAGCCGCAGAAAAGAAAAAAATAGAGTAGAAACGTTTCTACTCGGATGAATGAATTTGGGCGCTCCTGTAGTGGCGGCGCCCGTACGTTTCCTACAATTGTGCCTTGTTAACGGGCACAACTTTAGGAAGTACTGCAGTGGTTTAAAGTCCACGATATATATTATATATTGTCACACTGTGAATCAGAGCGCTAGATATATATCGATATTTTCTGTCTAACATGGCGAATCTAAAGCGAATCTTCTCTCTTCTCTCCGACTTTCTTTCTCCTCCCTACTGCTCACAGAGATTGCCTCGGAGATTACCACTCACTTCAGACGTCATGTAGACCTCTTTGGCATCAGCGCCAACAAACAGCACGAAGAAGATAGAAGTACCCAAGTCATCCATCTACCTGTTTGCTTTTCTTTTTCCCCGGACCATATCGTGAATTGTGTGTGTGTCAACCCTAATTGCACAGCGGCCACGCTAATCGTCTTTCTCTGTATCGCTCCACTTTTAACGGATGCCCTGAAGGACACCAAGGCTCCTACTTAGGAGGAGTTGCGCCATACCAACGAAATCCACAGCCCCTCCTCATGCCTTTGCTATCAGACACTGCCAGTCCAGGCAGCACATTAGACGCCTCATATGGCCCACAACATACCTGGCAGCGCCCTTTAGCAGCGTCGTACATATATCTCCCCTGTGCCTGGGATTATAACTAGCATCATCCGCTATTGGCCTCCCTGCTTGTCCCCTTCGGGGTAGGGGGCACGGGGGGAAGGTTGGGGGGGGAAGGTAAATGATCACGCTTCAGCTCCACTGAAATTGCTGCTCAACTCTTCCGTGCCTATGCTCGTCCGTCAGAATCGCAGATTTGACCCACCCCAATGTGGCTGCATGATGGTACATGGTAAATAGCTCATACGTTCGAATCCCGATGAGATCTACTCTCTCTCTCTCTCTCTCTCTCTCTCTCTCTCTCTCTCTCTCTCTCTCTCTCTCTCTCTTTCTGTGTGTGTGTGTGTGTGTGTGTGTGCGTGTGTGTGTGTGAAGAAGGCGTAAAAAAAGGAGTGGCCCATGCGAAAACGCCACGGGGCTGACAAGCACTCTCTCTCTCTCTCTCTCTCTCTCTCTCTCTCTCTCTCTCTCTCTCTCTCTCNTCTCTCTCTCTCTCTCTCTCTCTCTCTCTCTCTCTCTCTCTGTGTGTGTGTGTGTGTGTGTGTGTGTGCATATCTACGTAGTCCAGGAAAAAGATGTAAAAACGGAGTGGGTCGGCCATGCGAACACGCGACGAGGAACGTTGGAAATCCTCTCTCTCTCTCTCTCTCTCTCTCTCTCTCTCTCTCTCTCTCTCTCTCTCTCTCTCTCTCTCTCTCTCTCTCTCTCTCTCATTCTGGATGATCAACAGGAAAAGGAAGACTCTGACGGAGAAGGAGAAGAACTAAAGAAAAGGGGCCGGAGGCCTGTTTCAAATACGAAACAGGACCGCTCCTGTGTGCTGAAAGAAGAAGAACACCATGCCTACACCGGGACGACGAAGTGCAAGTGAAAACATCGGAAACGAGAACACAACCAGGAAAAGGTAAGAAATATGTACAGACCTCGCGTGCTTCTGTGTCCTCTTCTCCTTCGTGGCATTGATTCTCCTCCCCTTTCTTTTCGCGCTTGCCACGTCAAAAATTGTCCACAACGTCGTGCCGCCAACCTTGGTGTTGAATCCTCGAAGCTGCCGGGGATTATCGCTTTTGAGAAGACAGGGCGGCCGACATGACGCTCAAAAAACGAGAGGACTGAATGCGCTGACGAGAAAGAACGTGCAGGGAGGCATGCAAGAATGGCGCCCAAGGCTTCTCCCGCCGCAGGGAGCCACCAGCGACTCCGTGCGTGGGAAACGCCGGAGGAATTCTAGAGAGGGAAACGGGTGGCGCATGCAGAAAGACACTGGATAACGGTTCTTGGAGTTGCTTTCGTCAAAAAAAAAAAAAGAAGGCGACGGCATTGTAGTAGGGGTACAGATGAAGCCCCCGGTTTTTTTGTTTTTTTTTTGGCTTTTACAAGAAAGCTCAGCTCATTTGATTTCGCACACCACAACAGAGGCCGGAATCCTCCATAAACAACCAGGAACAGGCAAAGAAAACCAAGATGTGGGTGTCGGGGAGAAAAAGCCAGAGACAGAAATGGCGAAAACCAGACGGCTGTCCTGCAACCCGCCGACCCTTTCCAAGAAAGAACACCGCATCAGGCCTTACAATCCAAAAGGAGAAACAAATCCTGAGGAACAAATCTATCTAGGATGCTAAGCTATTCTATGTCGACATCTAAGCAAATATTGCTATTCTACGCAAACCCACTGCCTAAGAGGTGGTCCCCACTGCCCGGCGGCTGGAAAACCAGCGAGACCAAAAAAAACGGCCCACCGTCTTTGGAACGTGTTTGGCATATTTTGTTGGTACCCCACCGCGACCGCAAACTTTGGCATTGGAAACGGCCTCACTTACCCGAATAGGGAAACTTGGAAGGTCGGATCCGAAAAAGGAAAGTTTGGTAGGGGCACGGGTCCATGGCCTTCCGTTGCGCCTGTAGCAGGACATGTCCGTGTGTGGCTGTGTGTGACGCGGTGTGACATGTGTCGAACAGGTGCCATGCGGTACACAGGCTGCTTATCGGCTGCTCCCCTGCGGTGGTGCACGTACGGGCAATGAAAATGACCGTTGGGGCCATGGGTTGGGTTTCCCATCCTGTCGTTGGCACCGTCTGGATGCTGGGATGTGCGCAAAGTGGGACGGCAGGTCTCCGGGCAACAACGGGGGGTGGCGAGAGGGGGATGATGACGACCCCCAGGTGAAGAAGGAAGACGTACGTCTAGGAGAGGTGTTTCTTTTTTTCTTGGACAAAGGTTGTGGGTGTGCAAAGTTGGCCAGACACGTACATGTCTAAATTGGGAACGGCTTCCCTGCATAGTGCCATGGAAACCATGAATCCTTCGTCGGTGGCCTGTTCAGAAGAGGAGTGGGAAGACATGCTCTTCATGTTCGTCCTCATAATGACGCACTGGGTGGACGGGCGTAATGCAGCAGCCATGGCCGTCCTTGAAGCTGTCGCCATGACTCCGTTTTTCTACCGGGACACGTCGGGGGCCATGACGATGCTTGCTGGTGGACTGCTTGACGACATGGCTCTGAGCTGTTTGCTAGCACAGGAGTTGGGGAGACGCATGACACGAAGACGACGATTGTGGGTGGTGGAGCGCAGTGGAGGTCTTTGGAAGGACCAGCAGCGACAGGGAGCAGAGAACGAGACGGTGTTCTTGCGGTTCTGCAGACTCCCACGATCGTTGTTCTTCGAAGTTCTCCAACAAATCAGCCCGCATATCCAGCGTTCGCCGATGAATTTTCGGTTGCCCATTCCTGCCGGTCAGAAGTTTACCTGAGCATTGATGAGGTGGGCGACACGTGGCTACTACAGGCAATCCGGCCACAGTTTGGGTATAGGCCTCGCCAATGCATTGAGAAGCAATGAAGACGTGGTTGATGCTATCATCCACGAGTACGGCCATCTCCTGCAATTTTCGACAGGACGTCGTCTTCAAGACGTTCCAAACGCATTCGAGGCAAAGGGGTTTACAGGGTGCGTGGGGGCAATCGACTGCACACACATGTACATCGACAAGCCGAAGGGAACCCGTTCCAAGTGCTACTACCATCACACTGGAGATTTTTATGTGGTTGCACAGGTCGTATGCGACCATGAGTGCAGGATAGTCAGTGTGTTTGTCGGTTGTTCTGGGTTCGTGCATGACTCGCGTGCTTTGCGGATGTCGCCCTTATACCGCCACACCAAGAATGGGAGAGGTGTGCTCAGCGAGGGAGGAGTTGTTCTCCATGACGGCACACATGTGGGGCGCTATCTGTTGGGAGATGCAGGGTACCCCCTTCTGCCATGGCTCATGACACCAATGGGCAGATTTGGGAAAACGTTTATGGACCGGACCTACGATGAGTGTCACATAACGACCAGGTCTTGTATAGAGCACACTTTCAGGCGTCTGTAGAGCGTGTGGATGAATTTCATCCACACACACATCGCTAACTGGAAACCCTGCACAAGGAATTCATGGTCGTGTGCATTCTGCACAACCTCATGACCGAACACAGGGTAGAGATCGACCCTACAAACATGGGAGATGGCAGTGACAACGATGGTCAGGGTCCACCTCCCAACAGTTGTCGCCATCGATGCCGCCGAAGGCGAGTGCAACGTAGGATACCCGACCTCAACGTCAAACTAGGAGCTGAAGACGACACCACATACGACACAAATATAGGAAAGCGGGTCAAGGCTAACTTGATAGCACATGTGGAGCACCACATTGTCGTTCACGGAGCGTCGACGCCATGTCCGTGGAAATAAACAATGTGTGTGTGTGTGTGCGTGTGTGTATGAGTGTGTGTGTGTGTGTGTGAGGCAGAATTGAACTACACGTTGATAATAGAGACGAATAATTTTTTTTTTTGCCATGAACTACTCGAATTATGCATCCCTTTGTCCTATCCGATGTCCTTTCTCTCTCTCTCTCTCTCTCTCTCTCTCTCTCTCTCTCTCTCTCTCTCTCTCTCTCTCTCTCTCTCTCTCTCCTTTCTCTCTCATTCTCTTAATTGGAGAATTCATAGGTTCGAATCTTGCTGGATGCATCAAATCTATCAAACAAGTATCAGAACATACACATAAAACAAAGGTTATTTGCAATTCACTTTTAATTGAATTGGAATCATTGTTTCATTTTATGAATTTGAATTGTATTTTTTTTTTAACTCATCAAATAAAATTGAAAAAAAATAAATAATATATATATATATATATATATATATATATATATATATAGTTGTTTCCATCAGCCGTTGGTGCACTTGGCAATGCAATGGGCGCATAGCAAGTACAATTCAGCAAATCGTACCAACTGTCTTGATATTGGAAAAGAGAAACGTGTACATGCAACGTTCGGACACACACGATCATTTTCAAAGTCCCCCTTTATATATATATATATATATATATATCGTCACAAATAGAACTGCGCGGTAAACCGTAGGCAGAGAGAGAGAAGAGGACAACAAACGAGGGGCTGTGACAAACTGTTTCGTCGGAGTKTCACSGACTCATCAGGAGGCTGAACCCTCAACAGTCTGCAGAATCCCGTCACTGATTACACTGTAAATGATAATCTACCTTAACCAAAATCAAAGTAGACTATCACTCACCTACACCAGATGGAAAACTCTACAGACTATCGGTTCACACCCCATCACAAGCCAGCAAAACATCCACGATATATAAATATATATATATATATATATATATATATATATATATATATATATATATATATATATTGTGTGCCCATACTTGGATGGAAAACAAAAAAGGAAGAAAATGAAAACAGGGTGACGAAAGAGCAAACACACACACACACACACACACATACACACACACACACATATATTGTGTGCCCATTATCAGATGATGATGATGATGATGATGATGATGATGATGATAACGATGATGATTATGATGGTTGTGACGGTGATGACGGTCATGACGATCATGATAGTGATGACAGTGTCAACGAAGCAGACGTTCATGATGAAGTGTTGGATGTCGATGACGACAGTGATGACGCTGGCGATGATGACGCCAGCGTCATCACCGTCGGCATATCGTCATCCAATACCTCAACATGAACACCTGCGTCGTTGTCATTGTCATTGTCATCATCGTTATTATCGTCATCAACGTCTTCAACATCACAACCGTCATAATCATCATCGTCATCATCATTATCATCATTGTCATTACAAATTTCATCGCAAAAAAATATGACACTGTCGTGACCATTATCACCGTCATCAACGTTAACGCCATCATCATCATCATCATCATCATCATCATCATCATCATCATCATCATCATCATCATCACCATCATCACCATCATCACCATCATCGTCGTTACAGACTTCACAGTGGAGAGAGAGAGAGAGAGAGAGAGAGAGAGAGAGAGAGAGAGAGAGAGAGAAAGGGAGACAATTTTCAAAAACGAATAGGTTAGTTCGAAACTGTGTAGATAAATCACCGTCTGGACATTGAAAGCCGCCTCTGCACTTACCAAGTGACACGACATCCACTAAATGATAGCCGCCCCTACGGAAAAAAAAACGACATCCCCAGGGCAAAAACAAAACCCGACGACCAACAATTTGCTATGACGACAATTCCACCTACACCGACGCTAAGGATATATGGCTTCCGAGTTCCACAACATGTATCCATGATATGAAGCCACGTCACATGTGCGTAACGAATGCCATGTCACCTTCTCCACGCCCACTGCCTCATATCGAAAACGAACACCCTCGTCACATTGCACCGTTCATCACCCATGCACCTCTGACAAAATTGCCCAGGAACGGCAGTTGCACAAAACACATTGACAAACGCCAGCAGAGAACATGAACTGTCTTCGTTGTTGGGAGGGGGTTTCTGGTTGCATGCGTTCGTTCCACTGTTGTGCTCACACCCATGCACTGCCCTGCTCCTCTCTACCACATGTGTCGCACAACCCGTATGTCGTCCTCCGGGGAGAAAGTTTGGACCGGCCCTTGAAGGTAACCTCTCTCTCGTAGGGGGAGCTCCATGTGTGCCACGTACGATGCGTTCCTGTGCATGGCACCCATATGCTCTTCGGCCAGGACGAACACTAGGAACCTGACGACATCGCCAACGACATCACGCGTCCGCATCTGCCACGTGTCAAGGACGATGGCAAACGACTTAAGGACGAACAAGACAACCTCAATGAGATTTTTGTCGCCATCATACCCCAGCCCACCTACGATCATCGCCATGTGGGTCGAGAAAAGGTTAACCGACCCCCCATTTTTCACCTCAATTTATAAGAAAACCATAAGGCAATCCCAAGCAAACTTCACACCAATCTATAAAGTGCACTTCTTACTAACACATTATTAAAAAAAATACCAAAAAAATCAAAAT